CATATGATAAAAGCCACTATCACAATGACATGTGTTCAGTTGTCTGAGGAAATAATCTGTTCACCTACTGTGTGAAGAGTAAACTTACTCTTACAGTTTGTCCCGGAAGCTGTCAGGAGAGGATGAGCAAACCATGCTGTTCTGGGCAGAGGTTTTGATGCGTTTAGCATTTATCATAATTGTTAGGATCAGTGTAGAATTATTGTATAATGAAATTGATTTTGCACAACAGTTTCCTTTTAAAGACCTACTAAATCAGTAGGATGCTTCTGGATACTTGTGCTCTACACAAGTCTCACTAATGAGACTAGGGCACATAAATTGAATCATACTTTATCAGAACCAATGTATTACCTGTCAACCCAGAATGATGCTACATTGAAAACCAGAGGCATATTTCTTCACTGGGAGGAATGGAAATTTGTAGGCACTGTTGACCTTTGGCTCTGGCATGCTTAGGAATCTCAAACAGAGTCAAGGAAATGCCTTTAGCTTGGGAAGCTACTATTCTCCTGAATCTCTAATAATCTCAGGTTATTTACGTTTCTGTATCTAGTTTCTCACATTGTTCTCATCAACACCATTATGGTGTCAATATTTTTTTCTCACTATTAAACTCACTTTCTTTGATTTCCAACTCACAGTAGTGTTTACAGTATTACCTGGATTCATTCTACTCCATTACTTCTTACAGGGTTTTCTTAAAGGCATACTTGGCTATACATACATTGGCTATAAATACAGATTGTTAGGGTTTCTGTGGTATAAGAATATGGAATCATAAAACAATGCCTGGCTTCAATCTGTATTTGCAGCACTTTGTAATCACTTCACAGCCCCTAACATCTTCTTACCAGGGGCTCGAGAATGCAAATGATCATGAAAAGTGACTCATCTTTAAATGAAAAAAAACCAAACAACCAAACCCTCTTATCTTCTAGTTTTATAGGAACAGTATAACAGTATGGTAAGAACTCCTTATATAAGCATTTTATAAGATATCGATAAACACAATAATTTTTCCTAAATCATGGGGAAGAACTATTGGCAGGATGGATATGTGACCATTAGGAAGCTACAGCGTCTCTAATTGGTGCAGAGAGCAAAAGAGAGTTGCTGACTTGCTGTTTTTTAACAGGAAACATTTCTTGCTTAACCAGACTACTACTTTTATTTATTTACAGTGCAGTTTTAGCAGCATACCATCCTCTAGGTAAAGGGCTCTAGTACAGATGCAGTTAAACTGATATAAACATCCTTTTGCTTGTACAGTTCATTTCTTTTTGAGAAACACTATAAATCCTATTGCCAAGATGCTCTCAAAAGTAGATAAGGATTATATATTAAGATTTTGTTGGTCTACCTGTATTACCAAAAATCTCTAATGTAAATCTGTCCTGTATCTGAGGATACAGACTATGTGAAACAATAACAAACTACTTAATGTATTGCCAAAATAAAAGTAAGCCTAAAGAAAACCATGTATACAGAATTCTATTATTCCAATGCAGTTTCTTAATTTGAAGGTTTATGCAAACTAATCAGCTTGCTGTCAGGTTGATACTACAATTAAGACTGTGTCAGTAGTTCCATTATAACAAAATTTTGTGGTGTTTTTTGCTGAGATGGAAATGCCTGCCTTGCACTGAGAATTTTTATATGAGCCTTGTCAGCCTTCTGGAAATGAAAAATGAAGCTGAGAATTTAATAGAACTCACACTGTGTACTTTTTTCAAATGTCACTTTTTTTTTCTATCTGCTGTATTCTGTCCACATCAAAGGTGATGAGCTTTACAGAGGGAAGCTTCAGAACTGCATTTTGTCTTATGAACTGGCTACATCAGGCACCAATGAAGTGCTAAAGGTATGAAACCTCATTTCTTGCAGCTTGGGTAGGCAAAAAGATAAATTGGAAGGGTTTTGAAGCAAGAAGGTATTATTATGGCATTATAAAGCCAGATATGCAGCAATACAGCCATGACAATTTATGTCCTCTAAATATCTGGTCCATATGCTCTAACTATTACAGTTTCAAAGGGATTATACTTCTGGGAAATCTCATGGTGGATCTCCCAGTGCCACATAAATAGGGTAAAAAGGCACAGGCTAATAAGTAAGCGCTCAGAAAAAGGGTCATGGCAAAACTATTTTTAATGGTTCTGAGTTAGTTTTCTTCTATAGATCATTTCAAACTATAAAGCACTGTTGAGTTTTATCTGGGAAAGTCCAATCCCTGGCACTTTGGTCTCAGCTTAAGCTAGGTGGTGGGCAAGGCACAGTGGTCACAGAAAAGTGAAGGATGTGTGAGAGGAATCCTCAGTGCTTCAGAGACATGTATGTCCTTATTCTGCATGAAATACAGAGGTTTTTAGCGAAACCTTTAATTAAGGCAACTTGCTGATTAACCATTTAAAAAATCCTAACAGCAACAACCCAGTAGCAATGCCAAGACTTTTTGCTTTAAGTGAGGCTCTGACAGTTTATAGCTTGACCTCCTGTTTCAAGTGATTTATAAAAATGAGCTGAAACTGAGCAGAACAAAGTAGTGTCTAAGCTACTTATCTTTAGTTTATAAACTCCTGACTCCTTTGGGCTTGCAACGGTGCTTTTAATGTTGGGTAGGGTTTGTTGGGGTTTTTTTGAAGGAGATTTTTCTGCCACTTGTAATCTTTAAAATGTAGGAAAATTCTAACATTTAACTCATGAGCACCATGTCTTGCTGCTGTCACATTGGATGAAAATATTTCCAACAGTGCCTCTGTTAGAATGACACAAGCATCTTGAAGCACCAGATTGGTAAAACACCTTTCAGGGAACAGATCCAACACAGACAGCCTCTGAGCTGGATCAGCTCCCTTTTCATTTAAATTTGACCTAAATAGCTGAACGCTCAAAAGGAGCATACTCTAGAGAGATTATAGCAAAATTAAATTGGAGTAAGACTGAGTGGATTTTAAAACAAAACTTCTCTGATGGGAAAACACAAGCCTGAGCTAAACTGAATATAGCCTCAAGACAGTCTGAACCTCTGAGATGCCCCACAGTGACTCCAACCTTCCTATAGCTCCAGTGCTGATTTCCCTTCATCCCGTGACAGTCATACAGTGTGACAGGGCTACTGTGCGAAATGGCGTCGAAGCAGAACTTCCTGGTGTGAAGTGGTTCTCCAGGGCGGATGTCTTCTCTCCAACCAAAAGTGAAGAGCTAGAAAAACAATCAGGCAATATAATGATATATTACTAGTGAAAAACGTTTAAAACCACACACAAAGCTTGATGCATATTTCCTTACTCTGCACATACCAGCTGCTGGTTAAACAAGATCCTGACTGTGTATGATTCAGTGATGCCAACTGCCTTAATTAAAGTGCATCAGTGGTGATGTGGAATATAATCCAGGAAGGCACAATCCCTATGGCAGGAAAGAATAAAACCTCTGGTAACATAGTAGTGTGGTGGGGAAAGGGGATATGCTGTATGAAAGCCTTTAGTTACCCCAGTTAAAGCAGCACTCATATTCACTAGGACTACAGCTACCCAGAACTCAGAAAGCCGCTGCTAGTGCTGTTCCTATAGCTCTCATTTGAGTCTGAAGAAGGTACCTAGAGAGATCTTTCCATCACAGCATCTTTCCCATGCTTAGTGAACAGTTTCCTTCTGTTTATGTGGGACACTGTTAGCATATCCTCTTTAGAGTGTCCCTTTACCCTCCACACTACATACACTAAATGATCTTCAACTTTCTGCTGTGAAACATGTAAGCTACAGGCAGCTTGCTAAAGCCCTTTTCTGCCTGAAAGGAATCGTGGAGGCTCACAGTTAATAGAGGAATCCTTCTCAATTAGACACCAGCTGTCTTAAATGAAGCTGTGACACTGCAGTCTTTCAATCATCAGATGAAGACGACAGGGCTGACAGCACCTAAAAGATGCAGAGTGCGTTTTCCTTTCCCATGGACCAATCCTAGCAGGAAACAGGTTGCAGGTTGTAAATTACTACCTAGAAGCTCTGCTGAAAGCTGTGAGGTTTTTTTTTTTTAAGTTAATTTCTTTTTCTCTCTTTAAATGAGCAAACTTTGCTAGTGGAAACTGCTTAGCTGTGATGGTTGAAGCAGAACTGCACGCAGACTCATTGTCCAGAGAAGCAGCTTCCCATGCTGTGCTCAGACTGCTTCCAGCACTGCTGCTACCTCATCTCGGGGTTCTTTCGGTCCTCACTTAGCACCCTGCTCCCTGCCATGTGTACATTCCTTAATAAAACCAGTATCTACAAATCCAAACCAAAGCTCAATGCCATGTGAGTCTGATCCTGAATACTTCTGTTCTAGTTCCCAGGTTCCCTTTCATTCTGATAGCTATCTGCTCTTTGTGGTCTTCCTAAAAGATCCATCTTCTAAAATGCTGCATCTTCAATGCTATATCATCCTCCAAATACCACATTTGAGAGGTGTTACTGGCTCCCTTGGCCTGCAGGCACAAAATAAAAGCACATATCTGAACATTTGCCATTTTTGCTGTGTCTCTTATCATAAGCCCTTGTTTTCTCTGTTAGCTGCTGTCGCTCCCTGTTTACTCCTGTATTACAGGTTTTCTAGACAGTATTTTCTTAATCTGCCTCTGTGTCCTGCTTATTTCTTCTTTCTCCTGGAATGCATTTTACATTTATCTGCAGTAAAATGCAGTGGACAGCTTTAACTTAGTTTTTAAAGCAATTTCTACTTTTCAAAAGGTTAAGTGTTTTTCCACTTTTCTTCATGTTTCTTGGAAGCAGCACCATGGACTTCCTACAAAGATAACTTATTCCACAAGCAAAGACAGAAGTAAGATTTGGTACAGAAAAAAAGCTACGCTGCTGTTTCTTTAGAGAAACAGAAGCCTGAGATAATTTTCCTTTAAGGAAAAACCTACAAAACCCATTTTCTTTCTCTTACCTTTTACCTTTCTACAGCCAAGTAATAAACCTGGAGTTCAAAGTGATGAATAACAAATACCTAGAGGAATGGAGTGGAACAGCGGTTCTGCGATATTCTTGCTCTCATCACTATTACAAGACAGAGATCGTTTTGCAGGACCTTCCTCATCTTTCCCAGTGAATGGCTCTCCACATTTCTCATTCTGTGCATGGCTGGTGAACTGAGAGGCCAATT